CCATAGCCGGCCTTACCGAGCCTCCACTCCACTTACACGCTACTCTACTACTCTGACATACGTTGATCTCCAAAAGCTCCTGCCGTGGCCCAAGTTCTCAGCTTGTCGAAGATCATGTCCACCGTGTCGCGCTCATTCTTGATCTGGCCCGATCCAAACACCCTCGCGTTCCTCTGTTTTCATAACGTCCAGTAGATAAGCATAGCAAAAGTGTCAAAACCTTTCTGCGATTGCTTATGAATTCGCTTTCTAGCATCCGACCACCATTGCACCAACCTTGAGTCATTAGTTGGGCAAATCTTCATCATCAACCCCATCCTAGCAATGCAACTGAACCACACTTACCTCGAGAACACACATTGCTGCAGAATGTGATCTACCGTGTCCTCCTCTTGGTCACAAAGGAAGCATTTAGATGTTTGATCTTGCAGACCGTGTCTAGCCCTTCTGTCCGATGTCCATAAGCGATATTGCACAGGTAGCCACATGAAAATTTTGCAAGCCAGGGGTGCCCAGCACTTCCAAATGGCTCCAAAGGAGTGGAATCTAACTCCTCCCTCACATAGCATCTTATAGGTAGATGATGCAGAGTACGTTCCTAACGCATTCCATGCCCAAATGGGGTTGTCCTCGATCCGAGCATCCAGTTGCACCTCCTCTAAGATCTCCCAAAGGCCTATAAACTGAGTTAAGCCTTCCGTGCACAAGTCACCCACCACATCGTTCATCTAGGAGTGCATACACAAAGCATCTCAGACAAGTCTCCTGTTAGCAACTTGCGTATGAACTGACATCGCAACCAGAGGGGCGATTTCCGTGATGGTTGCGCCATGAAGCCACCTATCTTTCCAAAACAAAATTTTGTCTCCCGCTCCAACCTTCCATTTAACCAAGCTTCCAAAAGCTTGAACAACTGGTTTGTCCGCGGTCAAGCTGAGCCCTTGCCACAGCCTAGAGGCATCCATGCGTCTAAGCCATTCCCATCTCAATCTGAGAGCAATTCCATGCTTGTGTAGATCAATGACGCCAAGCCCTCCCATGTGCTTTGGCCTACACACTCTCGCCCAAGATACTACACATTTTCCTCCCTTAACTTCCTCAGTCCCGGCCCAAAAGAAAACCCGACAACCTTTGTCCACTCTTTCAAGAGCCCATTTTGGCGCCTCCGCAATCATGAGGTGGTGAGTAGCCCGCGCTCTCATGACTTGGTTGACAAGAACCAGCCTGTCGGGTCTAGTCACCAAACCCCTTTGCCATCCCGGCAGGATGTGGAGGGCAGCGTCAACCATCGGCTTCCACTTCGACCTTTTCAGCTGCTAAATGCTTAACTACAATCCAAGATATTTGCATGGGAAGGTGACAATCTTCCAAGGCAACGCCGAGTTAACAATCTCCTCGTCCTCAGGCTCTGCCCGAATCATGATAGCCGCAGATTTAGCAAAGTTCACTATAAGCCCAGATGCTTCTCCGAAGATGGTAAGTGTTTCTTTGACAAACAAGAGATCCAGCCATGTGGGTTTGATGAAAAGAACCACATCGTCAGCATATAAGGACAGTTGCTGCACTGGGCTACATCCATTAATGGTACTCATCACTCCAGCCTCATGTGCATTGATAATGATATGCGTAAGGACATCCATGGCTATAACAAAGAGTAAAGGGGAGATCGAGTCCCCTTGCCTCAGGCCTTTGGCATGCATAAACTTTTCACCTGCGCAACCATTCACGATCACTCTGGAGCTGGCTGTAGTAAGAAGAGTTGCGACCCATGAAATCCACCGCTCCGAAAAACCTTTGGCTCTTAACACTTCAAACAAGAACGGCCGCGACAAGGAGTCAAAGGCTTTAGTGATGTCGAGCTTGAGCAATACTCCTTTAGCTTTCCTTCTATGCATCGAACGCGCCATTTGCCTCACTAAAAGGAAATTATCATGCAAGCATCTTCTCTTGATAAATGCTGACTGGTTCACCTGGACAAGTTCCCCCATGCGCGGTTTAAGTCTTGCTGTAAGAAGCTTAGATGCAATCTTGGTCATGTTGTGCACAAGGCTAATCGGCCAGAAATAAAAGACCGAACATGCATCTGGAGACTAACAAATTCTTGTAAGTTGGTCATGGAGGGGCTTTTACCATGTTTACCATGCTGTGCACAACTCTCGAGCTACGTCCTTTCCCAACAAATTCTTGTAAGAGCATCTCTAGTGGATGGTGTAAATTTGGATGTGTATATCACCGTATACACGTCCATATACACCTTGCTAAATTATACACCTCCCAGTTTTTCAGTGGAACGTGTAAATTAGGACGTGTATATTCCAACGGCTATATTTTCAAACGGCTATATTTCCAACGGCCATATTTCCGATCTATATAAACCACCCCTACCACCTCTTCCAGCACACTTCTACCTGTGACTTCTCTTCTCACCTAGATTTTTCTATCGTTTCTCACGCAACACAATGAACACATTCACTTGGGACATGAGTTCTTCGTCATCTTCATCTGACGACGATGAACTCATACTTGCAGCATTCGCCGAGCGCGAGGAGGAAGAGAGGAAGAACGCTCGACGCCATGGCGGTTCCAAGCATGAACGTCAGTCAATCAATCGAGGAAGAGATGCCGGATTTCTTCTTCTGTGGGACGACTACTTCAAAGAAGTTCCTCGCTTTCCCGAACATTTGTTTCGACGAAGGTTCGTAATTAGTACACTTCTCTGCTTTGGTCCTTTTTTCATTTCCCTGTCTCATTTAATTTTTATGCACAGATTTAGGATGTCGCGTACTTTGTTCAACCGCATAGTTGATGGTATACTTGAGCATGACTATGATGATTATTTTACGCAAAAAAGAAGTGCTTCTGGAGCTCTTGGGTTACATCCTTTGCAAAAGATGACCGCGGCGATGCGGATACTAACATATGGAATAGCAGCTGATTATGTTGATGAGTACATCCGGTCCGCTGAGTCTACTAATTTAGAGTCTTGCAAGAAATTTGTGATCAAAATTTGTGAAGTTTTTGGAGAAAAGTACCTGAGATCTCCAAATGAAGAAGACATTGATAGGTTACTTGCAATAGGGGAGGAAAGAGGATTTCCCGGTATGTTTAAATAAGCACAACACATATAGAATATTGCACATCACATATAGAATTACAAGAAAGGCGCATACCTTTTCTTCTATAGTCCTTCCACTTTCTTGCCTATTTAAAATCTGCTGAAGGCAACCACAAAATTTAGAGGTCTCTCTGTTAATCGTTGTGTAACGGCAATTGATTGCATTAGCATTACGCTCCGGCCATGATGATTCCTTGTATGTGTTGTAGCACTCTAAAATTCTATCCCAATAAGCATCTCGGTTTTGATCTGTCCCAACAATATCCAAACTTGTATTTGCCCATGCTGCTATGAGAACCTTGTCCTCATCACTAGACCAATTTTTGCCTTTGTTCGATTTTCCTTTCTCTGTTATTGCAGAATGATGCTGAATTGATGGAGTTGCCTGCTCTCCAATTGGACTTTCTAGTTGTGTTTGCGTGTAACCAAAACCAAGGGTGTCCAAGAAACTTTGGTCAGCATCCATCTGCAAGCAACCAATGCACAGCTATTTTAGACCACAATCTGGCATCAACTGACAAGCAAAAAATTATTTTCTTCTCCTTCCAAAGAGCTATGCTTTGTGCATATGATCAATTTTACTATTCATTTACCCAAATTGCCTCTTAAATTGTGGACCTGGAAGCAGAGGCCAGCCCGGTCACCAGAGGCAGAGGATCCAGCAGAGGCAAGCCCGGTCAGCAGAGCCCGCCACCCCTGCATCTCCCCACGGCGCCGCTCGTCCCGCCGCCCCAGCAGACAGGCGCGCCCGGCCGCCGCCCCTGCATCTCCCCCCTCCCCCCCACCGCTCCGCCGCCCAGCCCCCACTCGTCGCCCAGCCCCCCGTCCCCGCCCTCTATTCTCACCAGGGCGCGCGCCGGCACCGGCGCCGCCGCCAGATCGGGCTGCAGGGCGTGCGGCCGCCGCCCCTCTGCTCCCGCTCGCGAGAAAGGAAAAAATGGTTACCTTGGGCAGCGGCCGGAGAGGAGACGCGACGGCGACCTTGGGCGGCGGCCGGAAAGGAACGGGAGCGGGAGCGGGAGGCTTTTTTCTCTTCTTTTCCCTTCTGTTCGCGAGCCACGAGCGTGGTTCGGTTGTGTTTAGTCCCACGCCAGGTACGCTCGTGGGAGCGACGTGTATAGGTACACAACCTGATACACGATCCACTGGAAAACATTTTTTGATCCACTGGAAAACATTTTTTGATTTTGGTCGTGTATATTTAGCATCCACCTCCATATACACCATCCACTAAGATGTTCTAAGCATGGTAAAAGGCTTCCTCTTTGAGGATGGAGGGGCGCACTCGCAGCTGCTTAACCACTGGGTATTTGCCACGCACCCCGTCGTTCCCGTTCCCCTCGATACGACGCACAGAAAATAAATCGTACCGAGGGATAATAACAGTGTGTCTCCCGATTACGTGTGCTCAGTTTCTAAGCCAAGTGAAAAAAACAACGATACCCTACCAGATGAATTGGGATAAGAACAGAACTAACAAAGGGATGGCGAACAGAGATGACAATTTAAAACTGAAGGAAAACAAGGACCAAGCAACAGGCAGCGCTATTCTCAGGATCAAATTGACGACGAATCCCCGAGCGACCTTAATAAGATTGAAACAAATGATCACAAGCCAGACAGTAATTAAACGGAAGTAAGGGATTGGGAATTTGCTTGCATGGTGAAGGAAACTGCAGATTCATTTCACATAGTTAGAGCATAATACATCTCTAAAACAACCATTTCATTACACTAAACACCACCCACGATACATAAACTTGCCAAGCAGAACCGAAACCTAAACAAGGGAGGATGAGGCATCCTTTTGTACAGACCCTTGGAACATCAAGCACTCCTAAGACCAGCTATCGGACCGGATCAGATCAGATCAGGCGGCGGCGACCTTGCGGGCCTTCTTGGCGGCCGGGGAGCGGACGGTCTTCGGCTTCGCCTTGGCCTTGGCAGCGGGCGACTTCTTGGCCTTGGTGACCAGCTTTTTCTTCTCGGGCGCCTTGCGCTTGGTGCCAGCGGCGGCGGTCTTCTTGGGCTTCTCGGCCGCCTTCTTCTTGGGCTTGGCGGCGTCCTTGGAGGGCTTCGCCGCGGCTTTGGGCTTGGGCGCGTCCTTCTTGGCGGCGTCGGAGAGCTTGTAGGAGGCCTTGACCTTGACGAGCTTGCCCTTGGCGGCGGAGGCGCGTAGCTGGACGGAGAGCATCTTCTTGAAGTTGGCCGGGAGAGCCTTGCCGTGCTTCTCCTCGATGTACTTGGCGATGGCAACCGAGCTGGACCCGGTCCTGTCCTTGAGCGCCGCGATCGCCTCCTTGATCATCTGCCAAGATCCAATTCAAAATCCAATCAGCCAAATCGCAATCAAAACCATTCAATCGCAGGGGAACAGAGGAGAGGTTCAGAAGCTCGCCTCGAAGTAGGTCGGGTGGGCGGCTCCAGCGGCGGCCGCCTTGGGCTTGGCGGCGGCTGGCTTCGGCTTCGGCGCCGCGGCGGCGGGCTTGGCGGGGTGGGCAGCGGGCTTGGCGAGGGCAGGCATGGTGGCTAACTGAAGCGGAGCTCTGAAACTGAAACTGAAGCTGCGACTTGCGCGCTGTGGTCGCTTTGAGATTTCGAGAAGGAGCTCGAGAGGTGGATGGATTCGAGAGGACCGGGTCGAGGCTTTACATGCCGAGGGGATCGATCCGGGGTGATGGGAATGCTGCGATCTCATTGGCTGGACGGCGGTGTCGCGGATCGCGATCCACGAGAGAGGGGTCGGGCGAATCGCGGCCGTCAGATGGTGGGGAGGGGGTGGCGCGAGGATCAGTGTGCGCCGCCCAAAGCGGGAAACAGATTACTATCTGTCAACAAAAACGCTGGGTCGAGGGTCGGTGAACTCCGTGCGCGGTGGACCGGTGCGCTGGCGTGCACCCTCTGGGTTGGGGGCTGTATCCACTCCCCGGTGTTCCGTGGAACGGGTGTAGGGGGGATAGTGAGAGGCTGTTGATTTGCCGTGGTTTCAGGCGGGTTGCCAATCTGGATACGGGTGTACGTGTGCTATTCGAGAGCTTTCGGGTTTGGTCCATTTTTTCTCTCTTTACGGATAGCTTTCGAACTGAGTATTGCTGTGCACAGTTCCGAGTTTTTTTTATACAAGATGTATGGCGGAATGTTGCAAGTTTTGATCGACTTTAAATCATGTTTGATAGTGATGATCTCATACGACATCAAATTGGAGCAAATTGGTGCCCGGCTCCAATTTGATTGAAACCACGATTGTGGCACCAAGCTCATAGTTAGGCCTCCTGATTCAAAAATAACTCAAATTCTCAAATTCTCAAATTCTTGTATATTTTGGAACTTTCTTATGAGGGCCTTGTATTGTACTACTGGTAGTATATTGCGTCATGATATGTTTCTCTTTATGAAATCTATACATATATTAAAGGACAACGTGTTTCTTCGGTTGTTTGGACTTCGTTTGGTATTGATTTTCCGAAAAGCAAAAAACAGCAATTGACACCGGGCATTGAGTTAATAGGTTAGACTAAAAAAATAGCATAATAAAACATATAAAGCATTAAAGATAGATAATATAATAGCATGAAACAATAAAATATTATTGATACGTTGGCGACGTATCAGCATCTCAAACTTAATTTTTATTCGTCGATAGGTAAATGATAAAAACAGAATTTTTTATGTTGAATGCTACCTAGCATGTTTATCATGTAATCTCTTTACAGTATAAATTTTGAGAAACGGTGAAGTAATTGATGAGTATAAGAAACATAATCATTATTTTTTTCAAAATATACTATGCACAATGAATGTTAATCCTACTCATTTTATCATGTTAGCTTGACATGACTACGTCTTCACCGTATAAGAATAAATCATGAGCACCCGGTGTCAAACCAGACAATTTCATTGTACTTCTAATGCGCTTTAGCATTTTTAACTCCACTCAATATGTGAGCGTGAGCCATTAAAATAGTACTATAGGTAAACAGTCCTAGTATGGTTGGCTGATGCAAACAAGCAATTAAACAGATGTGTGAGCAAATCTTACATATCAAGAAAAGAAGCAAAGAAGGAGGCTTAAAGACCATCACTTGACTGACCAGATTTAATGGGCATTTAAACATCATGTGCAACATATGAACTAACATAAACATTGCATATTGCAGATTCTACAATGGAATGCACATGTATTAGGCATGTATGATGATGCCATAATGTATAGATAGCAGGCAGGAGTGATTCATCATTGCACGCGCAATTGAATTGCAGGTTAAGGGCCAGTTCGATTCCGCCTTTTCAGGACTTATTGTCAAAATAAGCCATAAAAAATGTAAAGAAGTCATTTTTGAGTTATGGGCTTGGGCTTAACTAATTTCGCTTTGGAGGGGGGTGTTTCGGGTAGAACCTGACTAAAAATTGAAGGGAAGGGGAATAGTGAAATGACTCCGTTGTCTGCCTATATTACACTCAAAATGCAACTATTGACGACCGTGTCACACCTGACCCTCAAGTAAAAACAAACACGCAAGTGTTCGTTGCCCTGCCCGCTTGCATCTCCTCTCCCCTTTCCCTTTACCTCGATCCCCTGCCTGCAGCACTAGGGTTCCTCTAGCGAGCCGTCGCCACTGGTCCCATCTGGCCTGGTCCTCGACGATGCTATGTCCAGCTAGGCTACATGGCCGGTGGGTAGGGGCAAATCTCCCTGGCTGCTCCTCCCTCCGGCGCCGCCCCTCATTCTCATGGTCTCCAGCAGCTGCTCCACTGTGGTTCATCCAACGCACTACTCCGGCGGGCGCTGCACAACTACGGCTGATGCCACACTGCGGGAGAAGGCACCTTATTCCCCCTCCCCTCCTCCCAGGCCATGGACTTAAGGTGTTGTTGAAGGATGAGCTCATCCAATAAGGTGAGGATCTCCTCTGATTTTTTTGCCAAATTTTCATTCTGATCCACTATACGATGAATTGCTATGAGCTGCTTCTGTTGCTGCTATATGATGCATTGCTATGAGCTGCTCCTGCTGCTGTTATATGATGAATTGCTATGAGCTGCTGCTGCTATATAATGAATTGCTATGAGATGTTGCTGCTGCTATATGATGAATTGCTATGAGCTACTGCTGCTGCTATATGATGAGTTGCTATAAGCTGCTCCTGCTGCTGCTATATGATGAATTGCTATGAGCTGCTCCTGCTGCTGCTATATGATGAATTGCTATGAGCTGCTCCTGCTGCTGCTATATGATGAATTGCTATGAGCTGCTCCTGCTGCTGCTATATGATGAATTGCTATGAGCTGCTCCTGCTGCTGCTATATGATGAATTGCTATGAGTTGTTGCTGGTATATAATGAATTGCAGACTGCTGCTGCTGTATGATGAGTTGCTATGAGCTATTATTGTTGCTATATGATGCTTTCAGGTGGTGCTGCTATATGATAATAACCAGCCACTTGGACCATTGAATTTCAATAAATAATTGTTCTTCATTTAAATATGGGTCATGCGTTCTTCGTTTAAATTAGGCAATGGGATCTCTATGAAAAACATTGACCAAAGTAGATTGTGCCAAGTAGATGGTATCTTTGTATTTGCGTTTTGAGCAAAATAGTGATGGTCTGTTTTCCTATCATATTAATTACTGCAGTGGGTTCAATTTGTGATGTTTGCAAGTCAAATTAATTTTCATATGGGCAGCAAAATGAAAAATATATAATGCAATCTAGACTTTCCACTGATCATACCAAAGATAAGCTGAAAACGCAATGAAAAGAACGGGTTGGCTTATTACATGGAGCTTATATTCACATGTGCTTATTTTCTTAGGATAACTCATAATAACTGTCCCTAAGAAATTTGGCTAATAGAACTGACATACAAATAACATGTCACGATGATTGCAATGGAGGAGTGACGTACCATAGCACACTGTATAGGCTCGCCGATGCCTCTCCTTTTTTTGCGATGTTCCATGAAATTGCCACATACATCTTGTACTTTTTCATTGTGTAACCCTATCTGCAAGTTGACACGGCTAATTTCAGACATCTCTACATGATACTACATTGCATATCCCTTGCGCATATTTAAAACACCAATTAACGATTGTGTGCGTACCATAAACTAGCCATGACTCTGTATGCTGGACTAGCAGGCACTCTAAGGGAGCCTAATGTAGTGCACTGGAATTCCTACATGCCACCAAGGATTTTGTGTAATGTACTGCCCCTGTTCCTAAATATATGTCTTTGTAGAGATTCCAGTATGGACCACATAAAGATGTATATAGATGCATTTTTGAGTGTAGATTCACTCATTTTGCTCCGTATGTAGCCTATAGTGGAATCTCTAGAAAGACTTATATTTAGGAACGGAGGTATGAGGTAGTATCATGTATGACATCTAACATATCTAATTTAGCAGCCAATAGTAGAAATCATTGTCTGCACAAAGGTATTATTGGTCGAAAATCCTAGCAAAGCACGCTGGCAGGCACAGAACAATACAAGAGAGAGAGAGACACTTACAAGATCAGAGCAATGCCTCAGTCCAGGATCTTGGTTGGCCAAGCTGTTAGATCCAGAAGAAACATCGTCCTTGTAGTTTTTGCCAGCTGCATAACAGGTAACAGCGACCGATTAGTATATTTGAAGTACATCGGGCAGGTGATGCTGGATGGGTTTAAAGGTGACAAGTACCTAGGCTGTGGCGGGAGCTTGGCATCTCTCTAGATGGTGGGAATCAGGTTAGAAACGTCAAGGGTGATGACGCTGCGCTGGCTGTCGGGGTTCGGTAAGGAGATCTAGAACCGTCGAGTAAGGTGTTTGTGGAGCGGCTCCGGTAGGGTGGACTACGGTGTGGGCGAAGCGGATCTGTGGCTGTGGACGAGGGCGTAGGTGAAGCTGCTCCGGTGTTTGGGTTAAGGATGGTGTCGACGACGCGGATCTGCGGCCGTGGACGGGGCGTCAGAAGCTGCTCCGGTGGTTGGGTTAAGGATGGTGTCTATGATGCGGATCTGCGGCCATGAACGGGGTGTCAGAAGCTGCTCCGGTAGGTTGGATGAGGGTGCGAGGAAGCGGATTTGAGGCCGTGGACTTGTGAGTTGGCAAAGCGGCCCCGGTAGGGTTGAGAATGGTATAGGCGAAGCTACTCCGGTAGGGTTGACGATGGTGTCGGCGAAGCGGCTCCGGTAGGGTTGAGGAAGGTGTCGGAGAAGCGGCTCTGGTAGGGTTGAGGAAGGTGTGGGCGAAGAGGATCAGAGGCCGTCGACGGGGGCGTCGGTGGGGCGGCTCCGGGGGGTGTGGATGAAGCTTCTCCGATGGGGAGTATGAATGAGCCGCTGCAGATGCACGGCGGTTGACGAAAGTACCGGCGAAGTAGATCCGGTGCCATGGACAAGGCCAACACTGAATGGGCTATGGTACACTGGTGGATGAGCAGTCTAGTTGTTTCTAGGGGAGGTGGGAGGGGTAGATGCGACCGCAGAAGCAGATCCGGCGAGGTGGACGCCGCTAGCAGTGAATGGGCTATGGTACGCTAGTGGATGAGCAGTCTAGGGTTTCAAGAGGGGAGGAGAGAAAGGGCGATGAAGTATGGATGGCGTGATGTAAGATGCTCTGGTGCTGTGGAGTTAGTCGTTTTTGCGGGAGGGGAGAGGAAATGGGGGTGCCGTGTAGTGGGGGGATTCGGGGGAACGGAAGTTACCAAAG